ATGTTTTGACTGCTTTATCAAAGATCAGATGGGAATATGAGGATGGTTTCACGTGTGGGTTCTCTGTTCTGACGCATAGATCCATGTCTCTACTTTTGTGGTGGTACCATGATGTTTTGGTTACTATAGCCTTGTAGTATACTACCAAAGTTTAATAAAGCAATGCCTCCCAATTTGTTCTTACTATGTAAGGTTGTGCTGCTATTCATGGTCTTTTTTAGTTCCATTTGAAGTGCAGAATTGTTTCTCCTACATCCATGAAAAATGACACTGGTTATTTTAATAAGGTTTGCATTGAATCCATAAATCACTTTGGATAGTACCGCTATTTAAATGATGTTGATTCTGATGATCCTTCCATCAATAACCTTTGTGATTTCTTTCTCAGTGCTTCATAATTCTCTCTATGGAGGTCTTTTACTTCTTTCATTACATATATTCCTAGGCATTTTACTTTCTTTGTTGCTACTATGAAAGGAATTGTAACTTTGATTTGATTTTCAGCTTGATTATTGATGATGTATATGAAAGCTACTGATTTGTGTACATTGATATTGTAACCTGAGACTCTGCTGAATTTATTTATCATTTCCAGGAGTCTGTTGGGGTTTTCTAGACATAAGATCCTACTGTCAGCAAGAAGCGATAATTTGATCTCTTCTTTCTTCATTTAGATCCCCTTGATTTCCTTCTCTTGCCTGCAGGCTCTGGTGAGGACTTGCAGCACACTTGAACAAAAGCAGTGAAAGTGGGCAATCCTGTCTGGTTCCAGTCTAAGCAGGAATGCTTTTAATTTTTCTCTGTTCAATATGATGCTGGCTGTAGGCTTGCTGTATGTATAGCTTTTATAATTTTGAGGTATACTGATTTTGTTGAGTGCTCTTACTATGAAAAGGTGCTGAATTTTTCCAAATGCTTTCTCTGCATTGATTGAAGGGGTCGTATGCTTTGTTTTGTTTTTGCATCTGTTTATGTGGTGAATTATATTTATAGATTTGCATGTGTTGAATCATCCTTGCACCTCTGGGATGAACTCCACTTGGTTATGGTGAATTATTATTTTTTTATGTGTAGCTGAATTAGGTTTGCTAAGATTTTGTTGAGAATTTTTCCATCTATATTCATATCCAGAAAACTAATGAAGTAAAAGTTGGTTATTTGAAAAAATAAACAAAATTGATGAGCCTCTTGCTAGATTAATTAGAAACAGAAAAGAAAAGACTCTAAAACTCAATTAAAAATGAAAAAGGATAAGTCACAACTGCTATCACAGAAATACAAAACATCATTTTGGAATACTAAAAAAATTTCTATACTCATAAACTTGAAAATGTGGAGGAAATAGACAAATTCTTGGAAACATACCACTTCTCTAGGCTCAATCAGGAGGAAATAGATCGCCCAAACAAACCAATATCAAGCACTGATATTGAAGCAGCAATACAAATTCTTACAACTAAAAAAATTTCCAGACTATATAGTTTTACACCTGAATTTACCAAACCTACAAAGAAGAACCTGTACCTGTACTGCAGAAATTAATCTATAACATTGAGAAGGAAAGAATTCTTCCCAACTCATTCTAAGAAGCCAATATTACCTTGATAGCAAACCCAGGAAAGGACACAACTAAAAGAGAAAACTCTTAAAAAAAATTCTAATTCTTATTTCAAAAAAGTTGATAGTAATATACAAAATGACCACATAAAAGGTAAGAATTTCTATTCATTGAAAAAAAAAAAAGAAAAGCAACCAAATGGCTAAGGATGAGATTTGAAATATTTATCTTCTCTAAAGGAAAGGTCTAAAACAGGTTATCAGTCTTCAGTTGGGCATTTGTAAAAATGAGAGATTATCATTTAAAATTGTTTTGATGTTAACTGAAAGGAAACAATAGGTTGGTGAAAGTGAATCAATATTTAATATCCTTTTTATCAATCTATGATTACCATCTAGCTTATTCTCTTTATACCAACAATAATCACACTGCAACTTATTCAGAGGACCTAAAAGAAACATCTTTTTTTTTTTTGCAGTTTTTGGCTGGGACTGGGTTTGAACTCTCTACCTCTGGCATATGGGGCCAGCGCCCTACCCCTCTGAGCCATAGCGCCACCCTAAAAGAAACATCTTAATGAACAAAAACACTGTCATACTACTAACCCCCCCCAAAATAAAAAACTTCATTTTCTGACAAAATTTAAGTTCAGAAAATATTATAGAAAGTAAATTCACAGTAATACTCAAAAATAGGCATTTTTCAGTTGTGGTCATATAAGGAATACTAAAATAATTCATAAATTCAAAAAATAAAGTTTAAAAATGACTTTAGGAACATGAATTAATATATCTTTGTCAAAGGAGACATTGGTGGTAACACAGGTCATTGAACATGAAATGTCTGATTTCAAATTAAAAAATTAGCTCATTATATCTCAAATAAAAAACAGTACAATTAATCAAAGTTTGTACCTTTTGATCAGGCTGGTGTGCAGTGGTATGAGCAAAGCTTACTGCAAGCTCAAACTCCTGGGTTCAAGTGAACCTCCCACCTCAGCCTTCCCAAGTAGATAGGACTATAGGCATATGCTACCACGCCCAGCTAATTTGTTTGTTTGTTTGTTTGTTTTACAGAGATATGTCTTGCTATGTTGCCCAGCCTGGTCTTAAACCCCTCACCTCAGCCAACCCTCCCACCCCAGCCTTTCAAAGTGCTGAGATGTGGTGTGAGCCACAATGCCTGGCCTTTTGGGGGGCTGGATAGGGATGCAGAATATAACTGGCATATGTTTTTCATGAACCTCTTTTACAAATTATGTATCTTAACATAAATTACTTCCCACCTTAGCACCTTCCACCTCATTGTAGAGGGGTGTCCTGAGAGACAGTGTGTGTGTATGTGTGTGTGGGCGGGGGGGGGGGCATGAAAGCCCAAACTCTGGTGCTAGACTGCAAATCACTCACTAGCTGTACAACCATGGACAGGCTGGTCAATCTGTAAAATGAGAATAATGATAGGATCTTATTAATATCAAATTAGTAGTTGTTGTGAGGATTAGAATTTATCAAGGTAAAGATCTCAGAAAAGTGGCAGGTACATAAAAGCTGCTCAGAGGTGTTAGCTTTTATTGTATGTGTTCCCGAGGCAGAGAAATACTTTTAAATAGAAGACTAGGTAAATGTTACCAAGTTAGGTAAATATGCAAAAAATTATATCGTTAAATCTAGCAGATATTAGTTTACGATGTATGCCCAAACTCATTAACTGTTTTTTACTGTCTATGGTAACAGCTTTTCCCCTAGCAAAACCCTATTTTTATGAATCTTTGTCTAGGAGATTATATAAATCTCATCCTTAGGAATTAAACAAAATTATATTTTATACTCTTTTCTCAGAAATAAAATAATTTTTTGATAGCTACCTTGTATACTTTAACCCTCTGTTCTTTGTTTATAGAGAAAAAATAGAAAACTGATGAATACAGGATCTACCTAAATATTTTTCCATCTATCAATCAATTCATTAACATATGTAACTCATTAAAATGCACTTGGCCCTATGCTGAGCACAAAATCTACACACTAGTTTCTCAGAGGAAAAAAAACTGAGAAACTGTAAAACTGTGAATAAGATATCAAAGCTTACCGAGAATGATAAAACTCTGGAAGAAGGAAAAAAGCTAGACGTGAATGACCATAGAATAGGTGAATTTACAAGAGAAGGGTCTTAGAGAAAGAAGACCAATGGTTCTTAACTTCTTAAAAGCAGCAAGGTATCTAAGGGATAAGATAACAATCAGGATATACGTATATCCTGACTAGTGAGTCAACAAAGTGTTGTGGGAAATTGTAACACTTACAAATCAATAAAGCAAAATTAAAAAAGCCAGAAAGATATAATACTTAGAAAGAAAAGTGAAGATATTTCTAATAGTAATTTCAACTTCATATTAAATTTAATTCTCAGCTTCCTGGAAAGAAAAGGAAAAATAAAAACATGATAGTTTTGGAAAGAAAAGGAAAAATAAAAACATGATAGTTTTTTTTTTCTTTTTTACAAAGTGACACATCTGTTGTTTTTGTTAAGAGTGTATGTGGGAGTGGGGGATAAACAGCTCTCATGATATTAATTCTAAGAGAACTTAATCATTTGGATGCTTATATAAAAAAACTCTTCATTCACATCAGGGTAACTATTCAACAAGAACCAAACAAAAGCAATAAGAACAAAAGCTTTAGATCATAATTCGAAGAGGTTATGTATTT